ATTTATAGCCAGTAGGTGACAACCTATTTCTTGTGATTGGCATCTAATGTGGGGGGTAATCTTATAGGACTGAGCCCTCAACCTGTGGGATCTGTTATAATTTCCAGGCAGATAGTGTTAGAACTAAATTAAATTAGAGGACACCCAGCTGGTGTTTGTGGAAAAACTGCATGGCATATGGGGGAAAAAACCCATACATCTGGTGTCAGAAGTGTTGTGTTGAATGGAGAGTTGAGAGAGGAAAAGCACTTTGGTATTTTCCCCCAAAATCTCTTGAGCTTCCCATAGCTGGAGAAAGTAAAGCAGTGGCTGGATGAGCATCTGACGGGAGTTTGGACTGGTTAAGCTCCAATGTGACTAGCAATCACAAGAGCCTGTGATTCTCAGGCAGAAATGTTGTGGTTTCTCTCCCAGAGATCCTGGAAATCCAAGTTTCCCACTGACCCCAAAGACAATTATAAGACTGTGGCTAAAATTCCATTAATCTGCCTGGTAGGTTGCTTCAAGGCCATCAGGAAAGTGAGCACTAGGTCAAAAAGGTTGGACCACACCAAAAAAGAGCATTCAGTGGTGGAAGATCTCCTGAGTTTTGCGTCCCATGTAGCTGTGTGTATGTCCCATGCTTCTGTGTAAGTCAGATCAATCAGCATCATTAAACCATAGAGTCTAGCATCCTAGACATAAGCCACCCTAGAAGTCATTGGTGCAGTCTTCCATCAGCTGTAATTAAAATGTTAAGGGACAAGCAAGTTCAGTTCTCATGAAGGCAGACCATTCTGCATCTTTGCTGGACACAGTTCTACCCTATTTTGGACCAAAATTTGTCACTTCTCCCCCATTACATGGGTCTGCAACTTTGAGTGTGATTCTCCTATATTCCTTAGCCTTATGTTTACAAAGCTAAATATATGGAGTTTCTTATTTATAATTTGATACTCACTCTTCTCAAAACTCTTTCTAGTTAGTCAATGACCTCTCAAGATGCCTCATTTAAAATAAGCCCAAATATCCTAAATGTACTCTGAACAAAGCAAAAAAAAAAAAAAAATACTGGAACTATAATTACATGCTAGGGACAGTACAGTTCTATTAATGCAGCAAATATCTATTTGGCTTCTGTGGACTTTATATCATCAACTGCAACCCCACAGAGAATTTCATCAAAACAGGCCCCATTTCACACAATTAATTACAATGGAGTTTCAGAAGCCAATGGTTAGATTTCATCTCACTGACTTTATTCTGCTAGCTTGTCAAAATCTCTTTGAAATTGAGAGTATCAGCTGCCACATCAGCATTCCCTGCCAGGTTTGTGTCATCTGTAAATCGAATAAACTTGCCTTCCATATCTTCATCCAAGTCATTGATAAAAACGTTAAAGACGACAGGTGAATCATTCACTCAACAAATATTTATCACATACCTACAATACATATGTAAGGTGCTCAAGATAGACACCAGAGGAAATACATATTTGTAGTGGAACAGATCCTAAAATTGCTTTCTGTAAACAATGAGATGGACCTCATTCCTTGAAGATTCAATTCAATTCATTAGGTATTTATTGACCACTTACTCTTCCTTTGGCATCATGCTAAGATTTATTAAGGGAACAAAGGAACTAAAAGTTACAACACTATTTTCTAGATGTCTGTGCTTTAGAGAACAGTGTTGTAGCTTTGGCACACAAAACATTTTATGATATAAGACAGGCAGCACTTACAATTGATGAGTGGTCCAGAAAAGATATTTGATTCTGGTTGTGATTTTACTGTCACTTCATTTAAAACTACAAAGATAATTATAGATAGATTTTTAGAGTGGAAAGGAACAATGGAGGTCTTCCAGAACCATCCTACCCTCCCAGCTCATCAATATACTTTTAACAAATGGAAGGTGCTATCTCTTGAATAGTTGTACTCTTTGTTAGCTCTCATAATTACAATAATGTCCCAACATTCCCTGTATTAAGTTAAAAATTGCTTCCTTGTACCTTTCTAACTACGGTGTAAATACTCAATTATTTTGTTAAATAATTAAATGAATGAATTCTAATTCTGCTCTCTGAAGTCAGAAAAAAAATAGGTCTGATACAACCATGTGAGGGAAACAAATATGTCCTCATTTAATTGTTACTCTTCTAGCCTAAACATCTACAGTTCCTTCATTTGACATGATTTTAAGACCGCTCCACCCCCATACCATTCTTGTCATTCATATTCTGACTCTGTGCCTGGCATAAGGCAAACACTCATAATATGTCTTCTGAATGAATACGCGAATGAATAAACAAACTGGAGAGCTCCAATTTGTCAATTTCAGCCTCAAAGACAAATTCCCAGAACTGAACATATTGTTGAAATTATGGTTTAAAAAAAGTGGATTTCGTTCTGCATGTTATGATTCTATTAATACATCAATGCTGCTTAGATCCAGCTTTTTCTTATTTTGTGTTTGTTTTGTTTTGCTTGCAAGAGTGTGAATATTACCTCACATTGATTTTGTAGTCAAGTAAAATCTGTAAGCCTTTAACACAGGGGCAAACTGGATAACTTTGTGAACCAGCCCCACACAATGGTGTATCAAGAAAGACTAGAACACAGTGCTTATTCCACGTGAAAAAGAACGGTATGTCCTTCTGGGTATGCACGTCTTTCTAAGGTCATGCTGGTATTCTGATCACCATAGAGCCTAAGCCCTTTGGGAATCTGAAATATGACAGTATGCTGGGGAGAAGGCCTAAGTAAACGGGCACAGCAAGATACCTGGAAGGAAATGACAGGGTGAACTGAACTTTTACCAAAAGGCGACTTTTAGAATGGGCCCACTATTTCAGAAGGAGATAGTCAATATGGCAGTGTCAGTATTCCTGACAAGAAGAAATATCCCTCAGATTAAAATTAATCCAGGAAAACCTAAGACCAACAAGCCCAGTGGGAGCTGGGACTGTCCTGATGTTGGCTTTCTTAAGGCTGCAAGCAGGGTCCAGCAAGAAGATCCAATTGGGATGTACAGGACACAGCTGCTATGGAGCTGCTAAGACCAACCATCACACGTTAAGCACCAGCATTTATTGAACACCAGGCTTTTTATATGCATTATCCCTTTTATCCCCCACTAATAAACCTATCAGTAGGCATGATTATCACTATTTTATAGTTGTAGAAATTGAGGCTTAGATAGGTTTAGAAACTTGCCCAAAATCACACAGGTATAGTGGTACAGCCTGTCTCCAAAGCTTTTGTATTTAAGGGACAATGCCCCACCTGTCTCCAAAGCTTTTGTATTTAAGGGACAATGATAGAGGCTGTCCTGATGCTTTTGCCTCATGCATTTATTCATTCTTTAACAAAGAGTTTATGAAGCTCCCTCACTGTTCCAGGTTTGTGCTAAGCTTAGGGAAAAAGGGGTGTCCCTCATGGAGTTTAGCACTCTGAAAAGAATGTGAAACAACCAAACATGTGATCACAGTAAAGTGGGATACATGTCCCAATAGAAGTTCAAGGTAAAATCACACAGCATGAGGGAATAAGAGTCTTCCCCGATGAGGTAACCCTTAAAGCAAAGGTTCCCAATCTTTCTGGCATCAGGGACTACTTTCACGGAAGGCAATTTTTCCACAGAAAGGGGGTGGAGAGAGATGGGATGCTCAGGCATTAGATTCTCATAAGGAGCATGCAGCCTAGATCCCTCACGTGCACAGTTCACAATAGGGTTCATGCTCCTATGAGAATTGAATGCTGCTGCTGCTCGCCCACCACTCACCTTCTGCCAGGCGGGCCGGTTCCACATAGGCTACTGACTGGTACCAGTCTGCAGTCCAGGGTTTGGGAACCCCTGCCTTAGAGGGAAGCTTAAAGAATGATGGAGAGAGGCAGAGAAGGAATCACGCTTTAAGATCTGCCAGAGAGTGAGATCCACTGCTAGGTACTAGAGTCCAGCAAGGCTGTAGTAGTGAGTGGGAGGGATCAGAGGTTCCTGAAAAAGCTGAAGAGATGGGCAGAGTGAAGTTGCAGCGGGCCTGGACTGGAATTAGCAATGGAAAGAACTAGTAAAGTCACATGGACATTACCTCATTGAATCTTACCCATAGATTCTTGTGGATAAGACGATACTGCCCTGGACTAACACTCCAGAAAGGCATGCCAAGATTAAATTTAGACAGTTTTAATTGAATGTGATTTATCTGACCTTGTGAAATCTGCTCTGTAAAATTTATCAAACTCTTCAGTCTGTCTTTCCCCTCCCTTCAAGGCAATGGGGGGCAAAGGGGAAGGGATGGGTGAGGTTAATAAGGAAAGGAACAAAATTATTACAGTCCATTTCTTTATGTGACCTGCCATGCCTTAGATAGATTCCATCCTTCCCACTCCACAGAGGAGGAAACACAAGCTTAGAGCAGTGAGAGTGGTAGACTGAATGACTCGTCCCAATCCATTGTTATCTTTAACATTACTGTGCATCTGTAACCTATCAGGACTTTGTGGTGCATGGAGTGTATTTCCCCTCTCCTTGACTTTGGGTTTGATACTGCCGTTTGCTTTGGCCAATGGGATACCAGCAGACATGATATGTGCAGAGGCTTGGGATGTGCGTGTGTGGCTGGGAGTGCCTTCTTGGACTTTTACCACTGCCAGGAGATCGTGCCCTGGAGCTACTGCTCCTGGAGCCTGGACTCCAAATCACACAAAGCAGACCTAAACCTGGTCCACAGCCTGCAGCTAAGGCCAGCTGAGATCAGCAGACTCTGGCTCACGGGAAGCCTTCAGTCAGAAGTCACTGCAGTTAACCCAGAGACTTGTAAGCCTGTGAAGAAGCATTTACACTTTGTATGCCTTGGAATTGGGGGTGGGGGTCATTTATTAGGCACTGTTGTCATGGTAATAGCTGACTGATGAGAAAGTATTCTGAGCTTACAAAGAAAGTTCCTGGAATCCACAGCATGGCCTTGCCATGGAGTACCCACCCCACCGCAGCCCTGCCCACCACCTGGCACTCACCAGAGTCTGAGGCCGCTGGGCTCACCAGGCTGAGCAGCTCCCGCTCCTTCTCGTAGTCCCCTTTGCAGAGCAACTGCCCCTCCTTCAGGACAAACTCATCGCCCTTCTGAAGCTGTCGCTCGCAGACACAGCAGCAGAAGCAGCTCAGGTGGTAGACACTCTTCTGGGCCCGCATGACAAACTCATTGGGTGCGATGGCCTCAAAGCAGCCGCCACATTTGACAGCAAAAAGCCTGGCAGCAGGGAGAAAGGGAAGACATGCACCATGAGGAAGGTATGGCTTGGGCCTGGGTCTCTCCCGAAGTCAGCAGCAAGGGGAACTTCAGGAAATGGGCTGTGGAAGCTTAGAATAGAATAGTTCTTAAATATAGGTTATCTGTTACCTGAGGAAGTGAACTAAACTGTTCAGTTTAGTTACTCTTTCAAAAGAAGGGCTAGAGACACTGTGAGAAGGGGATCTTACTATTGTCCGGGGTATATTTGCTGTGGTCCATGACATTGTTTTCTGGAAAGCTGGTCTACGAGCTGGTGCCGGGCAGGCTGCCCAGAATCCCCAGGGAGCTTATTACTTAAATCAACAATAACAACAAAAATGCCCAGACCCACTCCTCATAAAAGGGCCTGGTTTCAGAATGTAAATTTTTAACAATCTCCCCAGATGCAGAAGCTCCTAGATGTGCAACATAGTTTTTTTGCTTGATTTTTTTTTCTTTTGTTTTGTTTTAAGTCACGGTCTCACTCTGTTGCCCAGAATCAAGTGCAAATGACACGATCACAGCTCACTGCAGCCTCTACCTCATGGGCTCAAGTCATCTTTCTGCCTCAGCCTCCCGAATAGCTAGGACTAAAGGTACACACAAAAGCCATAAGTACATGTGATGTGATGATGAATAAAAGAAAATCCCTCTGAGAAATGAGTCCCAGCTAACGGAAGAGTCAGATCCATGCAAATAGTTCAAGCACAGGGAGATGGGAGTACAGAGAAGGAAAGAGCTCACTCACAGAGAGTGAGTAGGGAGTCAGCCTTTTATTATGTATTCAATAAATCTCAATCAGGTGAAAGGTAGGCAGGAAGGTGGGCTGGGCTGGAGGAAGGGCATTCCCAGCAGAATGAACAACCTGTGCTAAGACCTAAAGTTGTGAACAGGCACATGTGCTCACGTCATGGGGTGCACTTCACCAGGTTGGATGGAGGTAAGTGCCTCAAGAGGTGTGGTGGGCGAGCTAAGTCATGACCTGATCACACACTAAGAGGCTAGACATCATCTGGCAAGTAATTGGGAGTCATGGAATAACTTTTTAACATGGTGAAGGCCATATTTTGGGAAAGAAACCCTTGGCAGCATGAAAAATGGAATGAAAATGGAGGTAGAGAGATGAGTGGACAGCTGAAAAATGATCGGGGTCATCACTCATGCAGCAGCAGGGAAGACAGACAGAAGGGGGCATAGCTGGAGGTGGGGAACCTGGGGTGTGGCCCCCAGGCACCTAGTGGTCAGAGCTGGTGCATAATGATAATGCCAAGCATTCCTCATTGCCTGCCTCTGGGCCTGCTTATGCTATTCCACCCTCCTGGAAAACTTTTCCCTCTCTGTTTAGTCTCTCTAAATGCAAGTCACCCTTCAGAACACAGCAGTTTCCACCATCTCCTTGATTTCTGTCCTGATCTCTCCAGTACACAGCTATCTGTACTGGTCATTCAGTGGTTATCCTGAGATGTCTCTAGACAGAGGCAATACAACAAAAAGTTCTAGGATTGGAGAGCTCTGCTGTCTGCTCTGCAAAAGACTGTGTGCGAAACTTTGGGCAGGATGTTTACCCCATTCTACCTCCTTGTCTCTTGCTGTCATCAAAGACGTTAGACAATTGCTTCCAACTCCAAAAGTCCTATAATCATTGCTTCTTATTGCTGATTCAAAATATCAACTTAATCTTGCCTTATTATTTAACTTTTCCATGTTTATAAGCCATCTTGTCAACAGCTCATATTTCAAGAACAAGGCCTTTGGAATATTTATATACTCCACAACTCTTTGCAGGTCATACGGGTACTCAATAAAAGTTGATATCATTTGACTCAGGGATCTAATTTGTTCACCCTCTTTCTGAAATGAAGAGCCTAGTACAGGAGCTGACACAAAATAGGTACCCAATAAAGATGTCTTTTCTCTTCCTTGTCACTCCAGATAAATAACAGTTCTGAGTAGTTTACAAAAAAAAACACCCAAAACAACTAGAATTTAAAACAGATCTCTCTGTTTCTTTTTTTTCTTCTTAAAAACTGCTTGATGATACCATAATTGCATTTGTCATCAGTCTCTCAAGACCAGATGGCATAAGCACAGAGGTAATATGCCCTAAGAATATCTCTGAAATTCATTCATTATAGCATTCGTTTTACTATTTCCGAAAACACAGAGTTTTTTTCTTTTTATTTAAAGCAGTAGCACAACAGGGGGGAAAACGCTCTCTGTGTCTGTGCCCACGTTATCAGAGGAATCAATATGTGGAAAGGCCAGATGGTGGAAGGGAGAGAATGACTGGAGAGGGCAGATATATCTCCATACGACGGCCCTCTTCACAAAGACAGATATGAGCTGTCTCAGAGTCCAGTCAGGTAGCCAACCTGCCTTGCATATATGCCCCTCCTTGGCAGGAGCTACAAAACATGAATAATGGAAGAACATTTTTCTAGAGACAGGCCAACTACCACGATGGCCCTAGTGTGGCCAATCTCATCTCAGAAGCTCGTTCACACCTTCATTCAGTCACTTGTTCTTTTCATTCACCATTTTATTTCTTCAGAGGCACTTGCTGTAAATTGCAATAAACCACACACTCTGTGGCTTAACAGGAAAAGAAGCCACCACCTTGACAGCACTCACATACATAAACAAGTATATATGGAGTGTCTGCCGTGTGTTAGGCATTGCTGTAGGCACAGGAGTATACAAGACAAATCTCTGGCCTCAAGGAGCTCACAGGTTTGTGGGAAAGAGTAAACAAACAAATCAATGACTAGATACCTAAGATCTACCTCTAGGAAACAGAATATAAGGACACTACAAAGCTATGTCCCATAAATATAAAATAGAATGACAAAAAGCGATAGCATATGTAATGAATTATAATATTTAATCGCCTCTCAACTCTAAAAGACTGCTATTTCGTCTTATAGTTTAAAAATACGTGTATTGATTTTGTAAGCTTCCGGGAAGAAAGGAAGAAATTTGAGGGTGAAGTGAAGAGGAAGCTAAGGAGGAGCTCCCGAGGAGGCATGACACACAGATTGGCACAAGAAAGAGGGAAGCCATTCAAACTCTTCGAGTGAAGGAAGTCAAGGCTTGGAAAAGGGGACAAAACCACCTCCTATGAGCCCATGAAGGAACAGCCTCCCAGGACAGAAGCCAGCCTGTGGGACTGGAAGTGTGTGTGCTATCTTACTTCCACCAGGCTTCCCTGCCCTTGGCCATCAGGAGCACCTCAGAAACACCTATTTCGATAGGCTCCCCTCTGCCTTTTAACTTCAGAAGGGAGAGTGAAACTGGAGGACAGTCCAAGGGCCTGGAACAGGCTTCTCATCACTTGCAAGGTATGCTAGAGCCCCCAAAACAGAACTCCAGGAGCCAGCAGCCCTTCCCCTGCTCTCTCTCCCTTCCTCCAGCTGCCCAGTGTGGTTTTTCGATGTGTGAACCTCTGGACACACCAGTCCCTAGGCTATTTGCCTGTACTCCCTGCCCCCGTACTGAATGCTGCCATTGGGCAGAAAATCCACCCCGTTCATCCCCGGGCCCCAAAGCCCCCAGTCACTGTTTGCCAACCTGAGCAAACTAATCAACACTTTTCCAGGAGCTGGTCAAAGGCCCTTTGTCCCCAAGCCCTCCTTCTCCTCCCCTTCCCCTGGAATGAACTGTTAAACAGACTCAAGGCAAACGCTCCCAGGGAGGCAACAAGCACTTGAGAATCTGCAGCAGCAGGTGGTAGCATCTGTGCTTGTCTAACTTCTACCCTGCTAATCTCCTCCTCTTTTTCTTCCTTTCTTAATTTCATTCCCCACTCCAAAAATTTCCCCCAAGTTGGAGAAGGGAGGGTTGGAGTGAGCTCACAAAGAAGGTCTGCCATGTTGATTCAGGAGTGACTGGAGGAAGTGGCAGGGTTTGTCTGAGCTCAAATCCTGAAATGGTCATGGTCACCAGGGATTACAGACTGGGAAGAGCAGGGCTGTCCTGATTCTCTCTTCTCTCCATCAGCTCTCCCGCTCTGGGTACAAACCAGGTCAACCTCACCTTACTACCTTGACTCTTGTCACCCTCACTAACCCCAGAGTAATTCAAGGAGAAAAGGCGCATGTGGTCCACCACCTGTGTGCCAGATGTGTACACAGCTGTATGGGTACCACTGTGGACCCAGCTGCCGACTGTACACCTCCCACAAGTTGTTTTCTCTAAGGCTCAGACAAGCAGAGAAAAGGATTTGTTCAAAAGTCCAGGTCATAATTAAAACACAGCCTGTCTGCTCTGGATGGCATCCCCCACGGCTACTTGCCCCTCTGAATGCTAATGAGACCTCACTCTGGGTTCAGAGCCTGGCAGCCTGGCTGTGCCCTGACAAGCTGGGCAGGGTTTCTAGAAATGCCCAGCCCACATAGGCATACATAACAACACTGAACTTTCCTTGCTGTTATAAATTCTCCTACCTACCCTTAAAGCTCTTCAAATAATTACTTATCTCCTCGTTGCACTGAATTCCCTCACCTGTAAAATGGGAATAACAGTCTATATCCCATAGAAAAGCATCCAACGCAGTACTTGTCCCAGTGACTAAGCACTCAGCACTGTCCTTTCTCCATTGATGGCTCTCTGTGGGGAAAGTACTGGGGATGCAATGACAAATGTGGCCACCTCTGGCCTTGGGGCGCTCACATTCTCCAGCAGGCAGCCATCTCCAAACAAATGGCCACAGTAGGATGTGTTTGGGTTATGCAGAGAGAAATGACTGGGGATGACACACAGGAGAGACCCATGCACTTGTCTTAGGCCAGCAGTTATAGATTCTTCTGTCTGCTCCTTCCTTTCTCCTCCTTTCCTCTCTCTCCCACCTCTTCTCCAGCTCTACTTCCCACTTGTTCTGCCAGGCAGGGAAGTAGGAGCTGGCTGGAATGCCATTAGATGCCTTGCTGACATCTCTTCTCATACAGCCTCAAGCTATTTTAGTGACTTGGAGCACATCACTT